ATTTGACATAATTACACTTTCACCCGTTTGACATTTAATCCCTGAAATTGAAAGGAGGGCATTTATGGTAATTCAATTCATTTTTAGTCGAAATAATACAGCTACCCCATTTCCCAAGAATTCCCAACGGCTCCAATTTCCCTTAAAATCTAGCCAGAATCCACGCCAGACACACCCATAAGGTCGAGGAAGATTTGTGGAAATGGCTATTCCTATAAAAACTTTAATATTTCGAGATTTAATTTGATCTACATAAAAAAAAAAAAAGTTAAATGAAGGAAAAAGTGTTTGTCACGTACAATTCTCATACATGTCCAATGCTAAAATGGACGTGCCCACATGTGAGAGTACGTTTATGTCCAAGTTGGGACAAATATTCAACCATTTTAATGTACTTTTGGAGTTAAGAGTAATGCCATTGAATGACATGTTATCTTGTTTTTAAGCAAATAAATTCATAACACATTGCTCCATCTCTCTATTGCTATAACAAGAAATGAACTTGCATTTTTGTCGGTTTATTGGGGATTCTCTTCTTATTTTACAGAAAAAGTCAAACGTTTAGAAAATTGACTCTTACAATTCTTTTCAAATTTTACATCGACTTTTCAAATTGGTGATGGTATAATTTTTCGGAAAATTGATTATCGATTTCCAATCACTACTTCAATAACAAGTTGGTCTCTTTTATATAAAGGAACAAATTGATTTCCAATCTTTTAATTGTACGATCAATTTTCAATGTCAGAAAATGTCCAATTTTTTGTTCCATCGTCACGTGACACGAGTCCAACTTTATATAACTAAGTTCTTCTTTTCATTTGAAGCGAGAGATGTTTCTACAAGAGCCGGGTGACAATTAAATGGATGTCTAAACAATTGGACCCATTTGACGAGGCATCTACTTCTAGTAGAAGAGATTCCTGATGAAACTACTTTAAACTAGTTGTCTTTAAAAGTTTTTCTAATCAAACAATATACTTTTAAAATATTATTCAAACATGATCATAAGTAACTTCTTAATCTCAGTAGCAGCTTTTGATTTTTTAAAAGTTATGTCAGACGAACCACTGGGACTGATTGTGGAATAATAAAATTTTGGGAAATAAGTTGCTACATGATAAATAATTTGGAGATTTTGGAGATCAACTATGCCACTCAAGAACTTTAACGCCTCCGGAAAAAGGGTTCAAATTCATCGTCATCTCCTAACATTTCTTAATCGCAACAAAAGAAAAGACTAATTTTCATATCTCTAATCCAATCTTTAGAAAAACGACATTTCTTTTTTTGTTTCTTTCACTCATTGTTCGATCATATTCGAACATAGTAAATATCACGCAAGGCTCTAGTGGACACATCCCAAAATCTATTAAAGCTATTTGGGAATTGGGACCCCACGACTTCAAAGTATGTTTTAGAGCTTTCCCACATGGACATGGTTCCATTATGCACGAGAGTGACATTAAGTGACATTACTTTGGGGGTCCAATGTGGAAAATTATATTTCTTTTCCTTCTTCCTTTTCTTTTATCTTTTTGGAAGAAAAAATGGACTACTCATTTCGTGGTGACCACTTTTTGGATTATTTGAAAGCATTATAAGGATTAGATGGTGACAAAGTGTTGAAGAAATCATAATTAGAATTTAGAAATCAAATATATAAATTACAAGTGAAAAATTGTTATAGTATGAAATCGTGGGTTGTCCTTCAAGACAAAACTTGCTAGAAACTTTGTGTAACTCAAATCAAATGACAATATTATTATTATTATTATTATTATTATTATTATTATTATTATTATTATTATTTCCCTATAATTAATTCTTTCACCACT